AAGTGAACTTATACTTATGTGACGTTATTTTCGGACCATTTTTCCGATTTTTTCAATTGTGCCAAATTTAAGAAATGGTAGCAGTCTCAAATGGTATTCATTAATTGACAATCCGAATTAGTATTTGCTTCAATCATATCCTGTTCAGTCCATATTCACAGTTTTCGAAAAAATTCAAAATTTAAAGTGAATTTATAATTATGTGACGCAGTGTATATAAGTGGGCGGGGCCTAGAGGAAAAAGTGAGCACCAATAGAACAGAGAGAGAGAGTGTTTGAGGACAACCCGGGATGGGAAAAAAAGGGGCGTGGCCTAGAGAGGAGAAAAATGTGAGGCGACTAAAAAATGAAATGAGCAATAATAATTGATGAAAAAGTAGAATAAAACAATTAAGTAGGTCTACAGTAGGCGGCCGGCACGTATCCAACCTGTCCGCTGGCTCGTTTAATCAGAAGCCATTCGGGATTGCCGTCGTCGTCGGTTCGTTGAAGGACTCCGATGATTTCGCCTTCGCGGACTTCGACTTGATTCGAGCCTTGTGGCAGGAAGTCGTAGTCCACTTTCACTTGACACAGCTGTAACTTCTTTGACTTTAGAAAAGGGGCGGAGCATATGGAAGGGGGCGGAGCTTAAGTTAGGAATCTTGCTCTTATCTACTCAGCCCTAGACTTCAGAACGATTGAACTTCAATAACGTTTTAGAGTGTTCGAAGGGGCGAGGCTTAGAAAAGGGGCCGAGCATAAAAGAGGGTCCACTATATCGAAAGAAAAAGACTTATTGGATCTATCCATACTTTGAAGAGAAGTTCTTCATAGGGGCGTGAACTTAAAGGGGCGGGGCTTGGAAAAGGGGGCGGAGCTGAAGACGAACGTGACTTAAAGGGCGGAGCTTAAACGGGGTATGTCTTCAGTATTGAAAGGTAAGGACTTATTGGACCTATCCATACTTTGAAGGAAGTTCATAAAATGGGTGTGGCTTAAAGGGGCGGAGCCTAAAACTTCCAACTTACCACTGGCCGAATCGCTGGCGACGATGGTGTCAAGGTCTCGCTGGGAAGCTGATCGTACATTGGTGGGACCACTGATGGTGGAACGTCATACGTGGATTGTTGTGGTGCTATTGGTTTTGGAGCGATTGGTTGTGGTTGGAGTGGTGCTGAAAGACACTTTAGAACTGCGACTTTTTTGAAACTGTTATACACTGCTTCTTTTTCATTTTCACACAGAATAAGCGCCAAATTCGAATTCTACACGGAAAATTGACCTAGAAACCGTCGAAAATCGACCAAAAACGAACGTGGCCGAACTTTCCAAATGGTGGCCTAGAAAATTCGAAAAACTCGGACACCTCGAAATTTTCGGTTTTTCTTGATTTCTAGAGTAGTTTTTGATGAGAGACTCGAATTTCATAGTCTTATCTCGCCGAAATCACCAGGAACCTCACTTTGCGGCGTCACATCATACATCGGTGGCACCGCGTAGCTCATGCTCATCGTGTCGTTCGGCACCGCCGAGTACATCGGAGGCAACGTGGATTGTGTTGTTGGTTGGAGTGGCGCTAAAAGCAAAAATAAGAATTCTGAAGACGTGACGTCTTCAGAAAGATACCTGAAAAGTCTCCAGTGTTCGCGTAGATGTTGTCCTGCTGAAGGCTGGGATACATTTGAGTTTTGACAGCTGGCCCCGGACGGGATGGAATCAGTGGCTGGGGAGAGTCGGATCTGGAATGTGGGGCATTTTGAAGTGGTGACCTAACTTTTGCAAATTCGATTTTTCTAGGCCACCATGCTAAAATGACTTGGAAATGGTCTGACATATCCTTCGTGTGTTTTCTAGGTCATCTTATCGTGGTGGCCTAGAAAACCCAACACGTAAAAGTTAGGCAATCATCGTAAATGACATTGAAAATACACTAGAGGCATTTCAGGTACTTTTTAGGCAATTTTAACTTGGTGGCCTAACTTTTGCAAGTTTGGGTTTCTAGGCCACCATAGAAAAAGGCCTGGGAACGGCCTGACATGCCCTTGGTGTGTTTTTAGGTCTTTTTAACATGGTGGCCTAGCTTTTGCAAGTTGAGTTTTTAGGCCATCATGGTAAAATGAGATATAACTGGACTGATAATCATCTAATGTCTTTTCTAGGCCATTTTACCATGGTGGCCTAGAAACGGCCAACTTGCAAAAGTTCGGCCACC